TAATAAAATATTGAAGAAACTTGTGAAACTTAAGTGTGTGCATGTTTTTTGTAGGTGACACAATGACATCATCCAGGAAAACCTGGGCGTTCTCCTCTATGCGTTCAAAGAGTAAGTAGTTTATGAATTTAAATTAATTGTAATAAAAAACAAAACAATATTGTTATTTTTATTAATGTATGTACGATTAAAGCAGTAAAAGATGTTTCAAATCTCAACATATTTGCATTCTAGAAAGATTCCTAATAATTTCAATTGTATTTTTGACTACTATAGCTAGAGCGCCACTGGATGAAGGGGACAATTATTTCAGAAGAAGATTGTTTTCTTCTTTTAGAAGTGATCGACGTGAACGTGAGTCACTCAGTTTACACACCAGGCCATCCAAATGTGCTCTGCTTTGTAAATAAACTGCAAGTGTACAGACGAATTAACACTTCTAGGTACTAGCACAAAGTTCAGTTGTCTCTGTCTTGGCCTATACAGAAAGATCTCAAGGAGAGGAAGATGACACAGATAAGAGAAGAACTCTCTCAGATACAGAAATTGAGACCAACAAAGGTAAGACTTTTCAACATTTGATATGTGCAATAAATACTGTTTTCAGTATGTTTGCATTGGCAGATCTGTGAACCAGTCTATTCAGAAATAAAGCTCTTGTAGTCAATACATAGGCTATATAAAACGAGGCTGTAACTCTCTGAGAATGTTCTTGTGGATTTCTACCAAAGTGAATCAACTTTAGGATGAAGCCAGCAGATGCGTTATTGTTGGCAAGTGTTATTAAGTTAGCAAACTTATTAAGTTAGCTCATTGAGATTACAATCACTTTTACAAGAGTCACCTGGTAATTAAGGCATCAAAAGACAAACAAACCCGGACATGCAAAGTATACAGTGTCATATAAATTATGTCATTTATATGTCACACCAGTGTTATCCAAGTACCTGCGGTTCAGATAAATTCTGGACTAGCTGCATTGAAGAGCCGAGAAAAGAAGGAACTCCCACTGACTGAAGAAGACATTTTACATCATTTGAAGTGTCTTCCGACCTGCCTTTCACTTCTTTTCACCGATTCGGTTCGTTCGGACAGTTTTATTGATTTTACCCAGACGCCCCGCACTGTTTTCTTTTTTTGCAGTGAAACGGGATTTGTTTGTATAATGCTATTTATCAATATATTTTCGATTTCGTTTCAGAAATTATGCTGGTTGACTCTCTCTAACAGTCAAATGATTCACGAACGGTTTGCGACTCGGTTCGAATGAACTGCGTTTTAAAATGAACCATTGATTCGCGAATCAGACATCAGCAGCGCGAGCACACATGTTTGGTTGCACACGCTCATTCGCGGCAGAACAGAGATCTTGCGCGTCCATGGGGAAGATTTCTGTGAGATCACGACATAAATATCACTTTAATTGACAAACTTTACGCAAAGAGATTCGAACATGAACGGAATTACTCCCTCTAATGTCAAAAGAAGAGGAAAGAAGGCAAACCCACGTAAACACCGGAGTAAGTTAAAACAAACTGTGCTTTAGTGATTCTGTATAAATTGTTCATATATTAATATTAATATCCATTAACTTATTTAATGGAGATGATATCATAGAAGATTATAACATTGCCACTTTTTCCCTATATATTTTTAATGTGCAGTTACTTAATATCTATCTATCTATCAACCTATCTATCTATCTATCTATCTATCTGTCTGTCTGCATGCATGTCTAAGACCTTAAGTTAACAGTTTCGTTAGTTATTTAGATTTATCATGCTGTTGAACTTGTTAAATAGTTGCTGTCACAATATTGTAGAGATTCGAACATGAACGGAATTACTCCCTCTAATGTCAAAAGAAGAGGAAAGAAGGCAAACCCACGTAAACACCGGAGTAAGTTAAAACAAACTGTGCTTTAGTGATTCTGTATAAATTGTTCATATATTAATATTAATATCCATTAACTTATTTAATGGAGATGATATCATAGAAGATTATAACATTGCCACTTTTTCCCTATATATTTTTAATGTGCAGTTACTTAATATCTATCTATCTATCTATCTATCTATCTATCTGTCTATCTATCTATCTGTCTATCTGCATGTATGTCTAAGACCTTAAGTTAACAGTTTTGTTAGTTATTTAGATTTATCGTGCTGTTGAACTTGTTAAATAGTTGCTGTCACAATATTGTATTGGGGATATTGATTCTTTACAGTTATCTATCTGGCATGTGGTATTTAAATGACAAACAAAGGAGGTTAAGCAAGAGTCTTTGTGGTTTCTTGTGAGGAAAATATAGTAATGTGGGAAAGAATAAATTACATTCGTTGATGTTTTTGTAAGTGTCTTATGCTCAAGATGCATTTATTTGATTAATAAAATGTAAACAATATTCTGAAATATTTGAAAACAAAAACATTTTTCTGTTTTCATATCTTTTACAATATTATATATTCTTGTGTTGGCAAAGCTGAATTTTCAGCAGTCATTACTCCAGTCTTCAGTGTCATGATCTTCAAAAATCATTCTATTGTGCTGATTTGGTGCTCAAGAAATATATATTTATCTATTGGGGATATTGATTCTTTACAGTTATCTATCTGGCATGTGGTATTTAAATGACAAACAAAGGAGGTTAAGCAAGAGTCTTTGTGGTTTCTTGTGAGGAAAATATAGTAATGTGGGAAAGAATAAATTACATTCGTTGAATTCACAATTTACATTTCAGCTGTCAAAACTAACCTCTTTGGCTAAGGAATCTTCAATCGATCAAGCCATTTCTGGTAACATTTCTGAGCTTTCTTGAGCAAGTCTGTGTGGTTGCATGTTGATTAATTTTCTGTTCTGTTTTGTGCGTTTTATTGCTCAGGTGTCTTTCTTCCAGGTGAAGAACAACCAGACATGGGAGCCATGAAGAGGTTCAGTACCTTATTTTCGTCCTTCCGGGGAAAAAACAGCAAAGACAGTGAGAAACGTCATTTAAATATTGCTTTATAAAACACATATCTAGCTACTTAAAGAATCTCTTCAGATCTGTTTTTAAGCTTTAAGTGACAAAAAAAGCATCTTTAATGAATGCACAACAAAACTTGCCTATGTAAATCGTTATCTTTAGCTGTGGTCACTGACTTATATTGCATATAAAAGTAGTTAACCTTGTCAAAACATTTCAGCATGACTCATTCTCGTCTCGTAGTGCAAGTAGGGCAAAATGCCTAAACGAATTAGTCTTTCAAACTGCAGTTTTGTGCTCAAATATTCCAATTCAAGATATTTAGAAAGATTTGTAATATGTTGTTCATTATTAGCGACTGTTTCTATGGGCCGCGATACGTAAGCCATCCGCCATTTTTTGAACGGTCTGCGAACCTTTGAGCGCGTTGACTGTGTGCGTCTACAACAGCAAGTTATACGCTTGTATATCTTTGAATATTCATTGATTATTATGGTGAATGACATCAAGTTGACCATTCCAACAGGCAGGTGCACACATAGACATCAACGCTGTCTTTTTATCTGCTGCATGTGCCCGGTCCACTTGGTGTTCCACTCCATCATTAGCTTTAGTAAAATAACCTGATAGCTAGGGATTTTACTGACTAACTCATGGTGTCCCCTCTCTCCTCAGTTTTTTTTTTTTTTAGAATAGCCCCTCTCTCACAATTTTCTTTTTTAGAATATTTGACATTTTTTACTTATCGAAGTACTGTACTTACGGTACTGTAACCATGTGCATTACGCCAGAGCAAAGTGAAGAGAGGTGAATGCAGACATTAGGCGCAGCACCACCGTGCATGTGTCGTTCAAAAGTAAAATATAGAATTAATCCATTTGATTGGTAAACCAAATTCAAACAGGACATTTTGATCTCTAATGGTAATGCATGGAATTTATAGAAAAGCTCCACTAAATAATAGCGCTAATAAGTGGGGGGCGTGGTGGGGCTTTGGCGATTGGCGCTACCGTTGGCCAGTCAATATTCTTCACAGCCAATCACGGGCCCCCTCCTTGTCCGGGCCCCGGGGCTTCAGCCCAATGGTTAATACGGCCCTGCATGAGAGCTACCATGTAAATTAGCTAAAGTTTAGCTAAGGCAATAGGAAGTCTAGTAGGTTAGACCAGTGCGCGTTCTTTCACTGCATGATTCAGTAAAATGCATTTAGAATGATCACAAAATTCAAGATATGGGGGCAGAAACGTATATATGTATATGGGTTAACCCTAACATTTCATATAGTTTCATATTATATACAGGTGCATCTCAATAAATTAGAATGTCGTGGAAAAGTTCATTTATTTCAGTAATTCAACTCAAATTGTGAAACTCGTGTATTAAATAAATTCAATGCACAATGTCTGTTCAATGTCTTTGGTTCTTTTAATTGTGATGATTTTGGCTCACATTTAACAAAAACCAATAAAATAAAACCAATAAAAAAAACATTTTTAGTGAATAGTTGGCCTTCTGGAAAGTATGTTCATTTACTGTACATGTTATACAGCAGTTCAATAAACAAGAATTTAATATTAAGACACTTACGTTTTAGACACAATATTGACTGTTTTTGCTCTATTTCGCCAACAAATATAATTCGACTTTGAAAAAAAAACGAATTTGCATCTCTGAGCAACATGACTGTGTTTCGTTCCTGAATGAATCAACCGTTTAAATGATTCAGTTCAATCGCAATGACTCACTTATTAACAGTGACTTGCTGACACCTACTGGCAGTTTTAATTTCACATTTAATGTATATTTTCATTTAAAAAAAATAATAATTTCAAATATCAGTATTCAACGTTTTATGCATTTGTAACTGCAGGTTAAAACATTAATGTCCTGCATTAAACAGTGTGTAATACGTGTGTGAAAATAAAAAGTTTATATAGCTCATTCATTGTCATTCTCATATTAATGAGATCTATATGAATGAAAAAGACCATTTGCATTTTTGTAGTCTTATTCTCCATTTGTCTTTTTCTCTTTCTGTTGAGTACAGAAGGATGGAATGGTGCGATTTCAGAAGGAGGAGGAAGAGAAGACATTAAAGGCGCTCACACTCTTTTGCTTTCCAGAGGGTGTAAACTGGGCACCCTTAACAGAATATCCCAGGTACTGTAACCACGTGCATCGTTTCTCCCAGCATGCCTTGTGGAGGCAGAAACTGTATTTTCATTGTCTCTCTTTTTCTCTATTTCACAGTGAAACATTCTCTTTCGTGCTTACAGATGTAGATGGAACGAGGAAGAATGGATACTGTAGGAGGCTACTGGTAAATGATGACTGGGCTCATTAGTGATACTTCCTGTTATTTATGCTCATACTCATCACTGCCCATTACTCATTCGAATAAATCCCTATTCCTATGTGTTAATCTTACACGGCAACCCACTAACAACACTCTTGCAACAGGGAAAGCACCACTTACCTTTTCTTCAGAAAATTGAGTTATTTTGTAATGCATGAAAAGACAAGATAAGGTCAACTCTTTCCAAAGAACTCTCACTCACATGCAGTTAAAGTGTTTTGTAGTGTTTCTAAAGATTGCTTCTCTTGTCGTTGCTCTTTTCTTAATTAGCCTGATGGGAAGGGGGCTCGTCTGCCTGAGGCCTACTGTATCATCAGTAATTTAGCCTGTTTTGGACTCTTTTCCAAGGTAAACATCATAATTTACTGCACAGTCATCTGTAACTGCCTTTGGGCTTTTATGATTTGCATTTGAGAGAATTGCCTTTTGTTTTTCTGACTTTGTATTAATTCAGAGTTTATTGTCTTTGCTAATATAAAGTAATTTACTTGTCTGAAAAGGGATGTCTAATGATTCATCTCTTTGTTGAGCTTTCCGTTTGCTGTCTGAGCTTAACGCTACAGTTATTGGAGTATATTTTGTTTGTTTGAGCTGAACTTTGTTCAGGTATTTTTTTATTTTAGGTGAACGTTGTCTCATGACTGTAAATTAGTTTGTTTGTTCAGGACAAACATCAAAGACTAATGTGATATGACTTAAGCTAATGTGATCTTAAAGAAATGGACATATTCAAAATTCGGGTGTTTGCAAAGTTGTTGACGCTTATGCTTCAATAATATATGGTGTTATGTGTTTACTGCTCTCCCAAATAGATTGCACATAAACTGTCTTAAGTTTGGGGTGCTCACTAAGGCTGCATTTATTTGATCAACATTACAGGGAAATATGGTGAATACTGGGAAATATTATTACAATTTAAAATAACTGTTTTCTATTTACATTCATTTTAAATGCAATTTATTCCTGTGATGCAAAGCTGAATTTTTAACAGTCATTATTCCAGTATTCAGTGTGACATTATGCTTCAGAAATAATCTTAATATACTGCTTTTGTGCTCAAGACACATTTCTTATTATTTTCCAATATTGAAAACAGTTGTGTTGCTTAATATTTATGTGGAATATAAATATTTTGTAACATTATAACTGTCTTTTGATCAGTTTTTGGTCATTTTTAATGTATTCTTGCTGAATAAAAGAAATTAATCAAAAGAAATCCAGCCTTTTGAACTACTGTATATTTCAGTTTTTCACCTGTTATTTCCATTGAAAGCGATTTTTTTTTTCTTGAAGTTTTCCTGTTTGTTCAATCTGTCTGCTTGATGTTTTAGATCTTTGATGAGGTGGAGCAGCGCAGAAAAATCTCAATGGCAATGATTTACCCATTTATGCAGAGCCTGAGGGAATCTGCGTTTCCTGCCCCTGGACACACTGTTAATATCAAAAGTTTTATTCCAGAAAGAGGCACTGAGGTAAGAACTAGTGATGAAACTACAATTTTTCAGAATCTTGAGGGTTGTCTGAATGGCTAGTCAGTCTGAAGGGGAAGCCCTTGTATCTTTAAATTCATCCCCTTATTTTAATAAAAAAAAAAAAAAAAAAAAAGTAAATGCAATCTGGTTGAGACTAGGGTTAGAGGGACTCCATATTGTACATGCCACACTATTACTCCTGACATCGTTGTCTGAACAATGACTCACAACAATTGAGGTTATTGTAAGATATGACTTATCATCAAGATATGACTTTTTCCAGTGTCCGGAAATCCAGCAGCTGCTACACTTTCCATTGATTTCCACTGTATTTGCAGCAGTTGAGTCAACAGAAAAAAAAAAAAAAAAAAACTGATGTTAGCCTGTCATTTCCTATTAAACTCAAAAAAAAAAAAAAGAGGAAAAGGAAATTGATTGAGGGTGTGAAATCGTGGAAGAGAATAAAAGCTGGTTTTCCATGTATTTTTCCCAGTAATTTTAAACCATAGAGTCTTAATTACAGTACATTAAAGGAGGTGTAAAGTAATACGTCTCTAATTCCAAACAAGCGGCAGAGCAGGCAGGCAGAGACATGCTGTCCACAAACACACACCTCCTCAGTTCTGGCAAAAAAGCAGGAAATTGAAGTGAGTGAAGTAATAGCTCAGGGAAAGGGTCAAAGATGAGCTGTTTCATGCAGGTATGTCCTCATGCTTTGTACCAACTTGACTTAGTTCTGCTTGAACTTCTCCTTCAGCACATTTTCTATGTAACATTCCAATCAAGTGATCTGAACATACCTCATATTATTATAAAACCCATAATTCTGAGATCTATCTATCTATCTATCTGAAGGTACTCAATTTTGAGAAAACGTAGTCAGCTACATATGACAAAAAAGAGGATCACAGTTAGGCTGAAAACATCAAACATAAAAATTTTACACTAAATACAACTAATAAAACTAAGGAACAAACCCAATTTATATCACTGTATGGAAAATATATGGACTAAAACATTATTTAGCAATGATTCAAATGAATCACTTTGAACTTGTTCATTGGAATAAAATATCAGAGCACACAAAATCGCTAAAAACTAATTAATGATTTTTTTAAGGCTTATTGCCTAGTCACATATTGTAAAAGGCTACACAAATGCTTAAATTAGTAGCAGTTACTTACAGTTACTAATAAGAACAAACTCCTAAAGATAGGAAATCAGCCATTGATATGTCATCGTATGCACTTGCATTTGTTTTGTTTTTTGATTGTATCATGATATGTTGATATGTCTTGTCTTGTGTTAATGTGTTTGTGCTATATACGCACCAACCACTGTGGAAACAAATTTCCTCCCCAAGGACAAATAAATGATCTGTCTGCTTCTAGTTAGTTATCCCCAAACTGTTTTTTTTTTTATAATAAAATATGTACTGTACCTATAATAAAGTATCTGTATGTCTCTCTGTAGATCATCAGTTTGACTCGTCCGACAGACTCCTGGCTGGAGCATGTAGATTTCCGCACATTGTTCAAATGCCTTTCAGATGAGGAGGTGCTCCAGGTGTTTGCTGCTACTGTGCTAGAGCGGAGGATCATCTTCATCGCTGATGAGCTTGGGTACTAAAACAGACATGCATGCACACACACAAGTGCTAGGTTTTTCTTTGATTTATATCCATATGTATAACCCGTATTAATCAAGGCCATACTATCTCTGCAGGACGTTGTCTCAAGTGATCCACGCAGTGACTGTTCTCCTGTATCCATTCATCTGGCAGCACACGCTCATTTCCATTGTTCCCGAAATCCTAATCGACGTCGTCATGGCACCCACACCATACCTGCTGGGTGTCCAGAAAAGTCTTGCAGATCAGGCCACTGACCAGACCGAGGTGAGTGGCCAGACTCGTGACACTGTTGAAATATTGCAAGCAATTTACATTTCAAATGCTGCAAGCTGAAATCTAAATTCATCTACTCACCCAGCTGCTTGTTGTTGACTTGTCAGAAGGCAGGAAGGAGACATTTATCAAGAGTGTAAGTTCACGTTTAAATCATAGAGAGCATCTTTTAAATTGTTGACTTGAAAAGTGACTGATGGATATAGTGTGGGTGACTGTGGTTGAAATGTTTCTCCAAACAGATGGGAGATGAGGACACAATATTACCTCACAAACTCAAAGATGAAATCAAGCAGGCCCTCAGTGCCAAAAATGAGAATTCAAGTAAGCAGCATTTTTACTTCATATTTAGTGGAGTTGTTTTAATCAATTTTCTCATTGCTCATAAGTAGTGTTAAGTATTTGAACAAACCCCAAATAAGGCCCAGATATACTTCGTTTTCCAACTTCAGTTCCGTTTTGCGCACAGTTGACTGTAAGTGCGGATGGATGCAGCTGGCGAATGCACACTTATCGAGTAGAGCTATCTTTTTAAGCACTCAATCACTCGCATTTGCAATGGAAAGACTGGATCATTTTACTGACTTCATCTTTGAATCTTGTTGAGCCAAATCGGGCTCAATTTTTAATCAGGTCATTTTGTTCATTTGAGAGGAGTGTTATATTTTCAATAACCAAATTCTACATACACAATCTTTGACGATATTTTGTATTAGGAAATCATTGTAAAGCAGCCAAGGATAAATGATAACAACAACAAAAAAGTATAATTATTTTCCCCAAGTCTTTCATTCATTTGTCATTTGACAGACGCAACGAACAAATCACTATTGCATGGATGTTTTACTTAAACGCTGGCATGTGACTTTGTTCTATATCGTCTGTGCTATGGACATGAATGATCAAATCTTCCCAAATACGTTACGGTCTAAAGAGTGTTGCCAAATTTCACTGGAAAACCCAGCACCTGATTCTAACAAAATATCTGAAAAATAAGCTCCTTGGCACTAGCCACTGCAAATAAGCCTAAATTATCCTAAATATGCAGCTCAAAAATGCAGTCCACAATTGGTAACATTTACAAGAGATATGAATAATAATCCCAAAAAAGTATACTAAGCGGACATGGCAACACTGCATGCGCTACGTTACAACCATAAACAAAACACAGTGCCTCTGTCACTATTAGAAATTTCTGGACATATGTGTCTTTATTCGCTAATATTACTTTTTGAAAATACATACTAAACTGTTGTCTTTTATATTTCATGTTCATAGCTGCAAAACACCATGACATTGCTATGTAAATAATCGCACTTGCACCCTAGAAACAAGTATTTAACACTAATAATAACCCATGTATTTATATAATTTATCATCACTTCAGGTCTTGAGGAGTTGAACCGGGTGGTCCCAGAAGCTTTCCTGCCGTTCTTTATCAAGACTGTCGGTCACTTCTCTAAGTACATTGTGCGGAACGGCAAAGACCAGCGGGGAGAGTTCCAGCGAACGAATTTCTGTAAAGCAATAGAATCCAAGAGCACACGACGGTTTGTGAAGAAATTTGTACAGACGCAGATGTTCGATCTCTTCGTTCAGGAAATGGAACAGAGACCCGCCTCTCAGGACGGCACAGGTGAAACACACACATTTTGACCTAAAATTAAAAATGTATATTTATAAATAGATTTTCACATTGAGTCTCCAAATTAATGTAGAAACAACATAAAAAATATGAAATAATTTAGCATCTTTTTATGACGGCAAGCATCAACAATACTGATGTCTCTGTTAAATGGATTTTTTTTGTTTAATTATGTTTAATTTAAGTGAACTTAAAACAATCTTCACATAAACCCATTATAATAAATGTCACAATTAGAGGTTTCTTTAATAGTGTCCTCTTAATGACTTGAACTTTGATTTACTTTTGCATAAGAGAATATAAAAATTGTCTTGAATAGTAATAGTAAATAATCTTGAATAGTAATAAAAATAAAGTAGTAATAAAACGTATAGTCATTATCGTCTCCATGGGCGGCGCTAGGGAGGGGCTAGCAGGTGCTTCAGCACCCCCAAGAAAGACCAAAGCACCCCCATAGCACTCCCACACATTTTTTCCTGAAAGCAAAAACAAGCTGTAGCCTGTTATATTTAATAAATAAGTAAAAAAAAAAAAAAAAAAATGAAATAAAAACATTTGACTCATTACACATGCATAATGCAATGCAATAACGTGAAATTGTGGCACTATTCCTAATGTCATAGCATTTAAAAATTCCGGTTCCTTGTGCCAAGTAATTAGGCCTGCCCCCGACTAAAGATTTTTCTAGTCAACTAGTCACACGTTTACATTAAATTAATTAATATAATGGCCTACTAAACCATCCTGTAATAGGCCTAGGCATAATATAGCCTATTCCACGCTTAAGCTCGCGTATAAAGCTTGCCACAATGCACCGGCAAAAGTAATGATTATAAATGTGTCTGGGAAAAAGAAGACGTTTTAATGATTTATTAGTAAATTGCTTTTTGAGTCAGTGTCGGCTGCAAAGATGAAGTTGCTGACGTTGACTCGCCACCGCCGCAGACGTACCTTTAACAGAAAAATGCACCTTTTCATACTGACTACATTATCAGATAATTTTTTTCCATTATTATTTGAATTGGTTCGTTTAATAGTAGACATTTCAAGCTTTCTATAGATTTATTTCTTATGTCTTTGAGGCAAGTAGCCGATTCTTGTGACGCGTCAGTTCACGGAGACCGTGACAGCAGAAAGCGCATCCTGTTTATTTTCTCTATTTTACAAAAGCATAACGTGTTATTGTCAGTGTACTGTGCACACAAATAAAAGTGTAATAAAAGCGAATGATGTAGCCTATTAGTCTTATCTGTATGACCAAAAATAATGGTGTATTTTAAGCTTTTTCCGCAGGAAAAAAATGCAAGAGATCGTGCGGGTGCCTCCATGTCATAAGCTAATATTTGAGCTTCCACACTCCATAACACTTGGTGTGAAATTATTGTTCAGTGAATGTATAGGCTTATGCAAAAAAAACTTTGGGAACTGACTGATCTACGTAATTTCATACAATGAAAAACTAATTAAATTGTGATGAGTCAAATAGGCCTAATCATGTAATAAGTGTGTGGGCAAGTTTTCCCTCATATTTATTTTATTATTCATATATATATATATATATATAGATAAAAAAATAAATACCTATTTTGTTCATTTACTAGGCTTTTATTATTAATTGCCCAGCTCCCCCTGTCAAAGATCTAGTGCCCCCTTAGCACCTGCATTCAAAATTCTCTGGCGCCGCCCCTGATAGTCTCCCTTTTTCCTCTTTTTCCAGGGTTTTTTGACAAAAAGATCGCTGAATACCACAAAAAGATGAGGGAGAAAGCCAAGAAACACTAGTGGAAGCACTCACCAAAGTAGCTGGTTGTAAATCTTGTGTGAAATAAATCAGTCAGTAGTAAATAATTTTAAGGAATGTAGATAGAATTAAATGTCAGATTGTTTTTTATTTATGTTGTCATGTGTTGTCATACGTTTACTGCTGTTTGTCTTTTGTGTCAGGGTCTTGTTGGGGGTTATGGGTAACTGTATTGTGATAAGCTGCTGTATTTAATGCATGTAAAGCTTGTTTCAACTAGAAGCGTTTTGACCAGAAGGTTCAATGTCACAGAAACTGAGCCAGTGGAAACATGCTGAATTCAAAAACAAAACAGATTCAGTGAATGAAATTAAATGAAATTTTAAAAAAAAACATTTCATCTCCATATTTCAAGAATAATTGTAAAAGCACTGAAATGTGTCAAAATATTTAACATGTTTCTTTTCAAATTAAAAGGAAAAACTCTTACTAAAAGTAGTGTGATACTGTATTGACTTGGCTTGTGTCAAAATGTTTGTACATAACTAGACTTTCTCTCAATATTCTCAGAATAATGCATAAAGCTTACAGCGTACAGAAGCTTCTCTTGAACGTGAAAAGTTTCTCCGGAAACTCTCAAGTTTGTGAAGTAGAGTCCGCTGAATATGACTGCAGTGCTCGATGTCAGACACACAGTGGCAGTGTTTCTCACATGGCACCAGCCAGCAGAGTATGGAAAGCCATATGGGTCATAATTCGCGTGCTTTTCACCGCCGTATCAATATTAAAACGCCGTTTTCATAACGCCGCCAGGCGTTAAATAAGCGCCGTTAGGCGATAAGTTAACGGCAGACGCCACCACGCGTTAAAATAACGCCACACGCCGACCGACGTTAAGTTAAGGCCACACAGATGCAGTTAAGATGCAGATTTATTTGCTCATCTACATGGACACACCTCTCATGGCTACAAGGACTCTACGACAAGTCGGAGCATCCAGTTTGCAAGAGCGCGAAGATGGCAAGTACAGCCCTTACAATTCTAGATGTAGGGGGAAAAATGCCCCTGAATGAGCTTTTGTCTCATAAAGTTATCACACGAGTCATGAATGAGTGCAAATTTGGAAATTATTTTATACAACAGTTAAATAAATAAGAAATTATTATTATTATTATTATTATATGTGGGGGCGTGTTCGAACGAGCCGTTTTAGGGGGGTGTGGCTGACTCTTAACTTTTATAAAGAATATCTCTTTGGATTTGAGACTTTAGTCTTTGCAACTTTACAGATCTTCTTTATGCACCAAGAGCTTGTAACACTCTAAAGAGAAAGGAAAAAATGAAATCGCATCATATGACCCCTTTAAGTCGCTGGGGTATATTTGTAGCAATAGCCAAAAATACATTGTATGGGTCAAAATCGATTTTTCTTTTATGCCAAAAATCATTAGGACATTAAGTAAAGATCATGTTCCATGAAGATATTTTGTAAATGTCCTACTGTAAATATAAATTGAAAGCTTATTTATTCAGCTTTCAGATGATGTATAAATCTCAATTTCGAAAAATTGACCCTTATGACTGGTTTTGTAGTCCAGGGTCACATATATTATTGCTATATTATATTAAACCAGTGTATTTTCATGAAAGCTGAACTTTCATTATATTATGTTGACTTAATGTGATTTTTTTACATTCACATACCTTCACAAATGCAGTTACAGTACATACACCCCCAAAAAAAGAAGTGCATTGGGATTGGGGATTTACTATTCCACAGAGCGCCTCCTCTTGTACACTGCATATTTTGGCAACTATAGTAAGTCATTTGCATACAGGTGCAGTATGTATGTAGATACTATGGTTGAAATATTAAAAGATACTGAACAGTAACTTCAAATCAAGCATATCATCTGTCTTACTCTCTCCCCGGGCTGCCAGTGTAACTTATTAGCTACATCCACGCCAGGCAGGGCATCATACAGTAACACAGAGGATATGAAAACTGACAGATTCAGTCAAAGAAGCAGAACAGGTATAAGAGTACTGACACAACTGGACTATAAGGAATATAGAGAATCATTACAAACTGAGATAATTGAGCATATATTGAGAAAAAGGATACGTGTAATGATGCTAATGAGCGACCACATTCCCACAGCCATACGCGCCCACAGAATATCCCTTCCATGGAAACGCAGCTGCATGCGGTACGACATGCCAGTCTGGACCAGGATATACAGCGTCCCAGGACCAAAGGTCAGGCCTGCTCCGAGAAGGTGGATGGATGTCATATCTGTTTTCTGGAGGAATATAAAAACTGTTTCAGAGAGCTGATATTAAACACTCAGATCAGAGAATGAAACTGTGGGTGTCACCTGAAAGTTGGCCACAACGCACATCCCGACAGTGCTGGCGATTCCCATCAGGAGGCCTGTGTAGTTCAGCAGCTGTAAGCCCAACTCAGAGGCCGAAATCAAAGCCTGAACTTGTTTATGTCGAACATACATGGTGCCCAACCCTGCAAACACACATACAGGAGAGCAGGGATGAATCAGTCTTCTACATCTTCCCAAAATATCCACAGACAAAAAAATATATATACAAATTATATTATAAAGAAACAGAACAGACTGAGACAGTCTAAATCCAGAAGAACTGTGGCAACATCTCCAGTTAGTAACTTTATTCATCCCCTTCGGGAAATTTTGTTTCAGTGAAAACGGCGTTTTAATATTGATACGGCGGTGAAAAGCACGCGAATTATGACCCATATGGCTTTCCATAGCAGAGGTGAGCGTTCTCCATGCTGCATGTGCTCTCTCTCTTCATAGTGAGGATAGTCGTAGAGATGGTTACTCTGAAGAACAGGCTGAACCCGCAGAGTGATTTTCTGGAACAAACGAGATTTAGTTAACAGGTGGCAAACTGTATGCAAATTGTATTTTATGCACATACTAAGAATAGATAAAAATACCTAGAATTTTACATTATACGATAAATTGTGAGTAATTAATTCACGAACCACCATAGTAACAGATCATACCTTGAAATCACGTATGTAGGTGAGGAAGAAGCAGATGAAGGAGAATGCCAGAGACCACTCAGCTGTAGCACTGACCTGGTGTGCTAGAAAACCCTAAAATACAGTACAGTTCAACTTTACATTTACATCTTTACGTACCAATTAATAATGCTGCAATACTGTAGTTTTAGGCCAGCAGCTACCAGCTGTTTCAGAAATGGCAATATGTGATGCTGAAGCAGGTATAGGGGCCACATCACCTCTCACATAAATATGATTATTTTGCATTTTTGTATTCGATTTTTTGTCAATTGTAATTTAATTTAAAATGATTTCTTTTTATAATAGTTTTTTATTATTTTAACATTTATGTTACAAAAGATTCTATTTCAAACAAATGATCTGTTTCAAATAAATTTCCTTTGAACTTTCTATTCATCAAAGAATCTTGACAAAAATGTTTCCCCAAAATATTAAGCAGCAAAAACAGTTTTAACATTAATAATAATGAGATCCATTATTAATAACTGAGCCCCAGAAATAATTGAGCCGCATATCAGTATATTAGAATGATTTCTGAAGGATCATGTGTCACTGAAGACTGGAGTAATGATGCTGAAAATTCAGCTTTGCATCTCAGGAATAAATTATGTCTTAAAATATATTGACATAGAAAATACTTATTTCAAATTGTAATAATATTTCACAATATTACGTTTTTTTGTGCATTTTATATCAAATAAATGCAGCCAAGAGACTTCTTTCAAAAACATTTAAAAAATAAGTGTCAGAATTATTTCACTCAGGGCGGGTCTAAGGTAAGACACCAGTCCAGTCTGTGCTGAAACGCTACTGTCTATCAAACTATCGTGGGAGGGGCCTGCTTTTGTGACGTCACACAGACAGGCATCTGTGATCGGCTCGATTTGAGAAAGGGGAAAACATTTAACCAGATTTTTAAAAAAAACACCGGGTGGATTTTTATCATTATAGGGTGGTTGTGTACACACACTGCCAACGCACATTTCAGTTCAAACAACTTGTAAAAGTGCATGTAGCATCCTATGACCCCTTTAATACAACATAAATTTCACAGTATTTCACAGTAAATTTCACAGTAGAACAATACAAATTTCACAGCACTTGATCAAAAAATAGCAATACTGAATGAGACCTGCTCATTTAGAGAAGGGGAGAAAAAAAACATCTTTCTTACCTATCTTTCATTTAAGAACTTCACTGCCTGTTATAGAAAAGATTTTTCCCCCTATTTTAAAAAAACACCGGTATCCTAAATCTTTTACCTGAAGGCAAAAGCTCAAACTCATTATACAGTGGGTGCCTATTATCAGATATAATTTTCATAGCTTTACAAAGACATCTAATCTGATATATTTGTTGTAAACCCATCACAGGGATACCAAGTAATTTACTCCGCAGTACTTAAAAATTTACTGAACAAACTCTTTTGTTCCACCGTAACATTCCCAAACCAGCAAATAATACAAAAGGTCAATACACTTTCAATAAAAGAGTTATAAAACACCTTTAACAATGGAGGGCTTACACTAAATGACACCATCTTCCTAAGGAAATATAGTGTTTGCTGGACCTTTTTGTTCACAGCGTCAATCCATTTATCCCTAAAACAACTCCAAGGTATTTCTACTCTTCTACCCTCTGAATCTGCTCCCCTTTAATAATGGTCGCACTCGTTGAGGACTCTTTCCGAAAATCAACACACATTTCTTTAGTTTTTGAAACATTTAACATGAGATTTGATACATCACACCAAGAAACAAATTCATTTAAAAAGGGTCCATGACTGTCCTCATCCCCTTTAAGGAGACAAATCAATGCAGTATCATCTGCAAATTTGATTAAATATCTCGCTGGGCAAGTACTCCTACAATGATTTGTGTACATAATAAACAGTAAGGGTGAGAGGACACAACCTTGTGGGGAACCAATATTCGTGATCTGTTTGTCGCCCAATGAGGTACCCACACACACTC